TTTGTCTACGGGAGAAAAAAATTAATATATTTAAAATTACACAATAGAAAATTAATATTTATTTCGACTAATATATAATAATATAAATTCCATAAAAAATCAACAATTTTCGTAGTACAAAACAATTTCATTCTTCGTATTAAGAAATATAGTAAAAAAAGAAACAACACCCTCCTCCCCTTCTTTTACTTTGTAATTTTATTTTTTAATTAAAAAATATTACCCCTTTAACGTGTATTCGTCGTTTAGCGAACGAATAGACAGATTACATAATATAATTTCATTTGATTATTTGAAAAAAAGAAAAGTTAGAGATCGGTATAGGTAATAAAAATCATGCATTCTTATTTATTGATTTTATATATACATGTGTATATGTGTATGTGAGTTTATTGAGTAGAGGAGGGGAAATTCGAATTAAATTTTTACAAAAGAATAGGAAAGTGAGTAAAAGACGAAAAAGAAGAAAAAGAAGAAAAAAAAGTGTTGTAATGGAATTTTCTCGAATAATCGAAGCGGAAGTTGAGAGATGTATATCGTAATATATTCTCTCGTCAAATCGATCATCTAAGGAGAGTGGTGTGATATCATTCACCAATCGAGCGAGCCAATAGCATCGGTTTAACTGTCAGCATCCAGACGTACGAGTTTCAAAGGGCGTCTAAACACGATCGTAGAATCGAACACGCGTAAACGTTGTAAGCTCAGCGATTATACACATGCCCGTGCGTTCATGCTCATTCGAGATCCTACTCTCTGCGTAATTTCGATCTTCTCTCTTTCCCTTTCTCTAACTAACTATCTATCTATCTATCTATCTATCTATATCTGTATCTATATCTATCTATCTATTTGTGTGTCTCTTTGAGTTTAATCTCGGTCGAAATACACAGAGATTGAATGTTAAAGAGAGAGAGAGGGGGGAGGGGGGAGGGATGAAAGGACTGATGATTAATCAATTTTGTAATTTCAATTTGATCTTGTTTGATTAATCATATGCATCGATATTTAATATATCAATATATTATTGAGATTATTTTAATATTTTATTATATTTTGTTATTTTTACTATGCTTTTATATATATATATAAATGAAATTTACGTTGGAACTTGTTGTATTTAGACTTGATTTCTTTTTAATTTTGTTTTTTATATGAATCTTATCTTCTCAGTATTTTTTACATAATTTATTTATTTAGGTGTTTGGGGTAAAGTTTTTATATAGTACATTTTTATGGATAATTTATTTATTAATAAAATTTTATTATTCGGTGTATCTCATTATTTTTTGTTAACTTTAATTTTGATTGCTTTAGTAAAGATAAGTATGCATTTTTTAATTATTTTGAAGACAAAATATTGGCATATTTATTTTTAATTAGGTTTTCAATTATATATATTGTACTATAATATATCTTTTAATGTTCTATCATATAATAATTGGACTTTTTTTAATCGTACTTATTTAATTTTTTTATCGAAGAAATCATCTAAATCTCAAGATTACACCTATAAAGTTTCCATGGAAAATTTTCGAGACGGACGAAGAAGCGAAAAGAAGGAAAGTAATTATTCAAACTTATCGACCGTTTGAAAATTTTCGTTTAAGATTCTAGATAGAAATACGAACGGATCTTTCTCTTTGTACTTTCCTATAGATCTTTCGAATTTTCTCATGGCTTTAACCGATTTCAAAAAGAAAGTTGGATAGAAAATTTTCAAGCCAACTACGAGTTAACGTATTTTTATCTCATAAATCAATCTTTTTTCAAACAAAAAAAAAAATAAAGAAAAAGAAACACTGAGAACAAAATTGTATATATCTTGGAATAAAATTTCTAGAGATCATCAGATTTATAAAAGATCTATATAGCAATGACATATATATCAAAAGATCTCTTGTAAAAATGTAATTAAATTCAATTTAATTAAATTTAATTTAACATTATATAATTTTAAAGCATTTTATATATACATTAATTTTTGACATCACATATTTGTCTCCGGGAGAAAAAAATTAATATATTTAAAATTATAATAGAAAAAAATTAATAATTATTTCGACTAATATATATAAATTCCATAAAAAATCAACAATATTCGAAGTACAAAACAATTTCATTCTTTGTATTAAGAAATATAATAAAAAAAGAAGAAAAAAAAAACTAAAGCAAGTTAAAAAGTATGAAAAAAAAACAAAAAAAAACCATACTTTCCTTCAACAAAACTTTTCTAGATTCAACTTGAAAGAAGAATACAAATTTTAATAGTATAATTTTGGTTGTGCTGACCGATCTCGTAAAGAAGTTGGATAGAAAATCGTAGAGGACACGCGAGTTAACATCGAGACTTTTCTCCCCTACATTTACCCTTCTCACTACTCCCTCTCTTTCTTTCTTTCTTTCTTTTTTTCTTCCTTTCTTTCTTTCTTTTTCTTTCGTTCGTTCTCTCCTTATACACTCACCCTTTCAGAAAACTCTGGCGCGCAAGTACAGTGGAGGGATAAGCTTTAGTGTGGCAGAGTAACTCGGAGGACGAAGAACGTATATACGAACGTAGGGACGGATCGATCCGTGGCCTCTGGAGGGGGATAGAGGTGCCGTAAAAGAGAGAGAGAGAGAGAGAAAGAAAGAGAGAGAGAGAGACTAATCACGCATACAAACTTTGACAATAAGACAAAAAGAGATGGAGAATGATACACATACATTTACGAATTAAGTGAGAAAGAGAGAAGAATACACACACATATACGAATTAAGTACAATAGAGAGAGAGAGAGAGAGAGAGAGAGAGAGAGAGAGAGAGAGAAAGAGTGAGGTAGAGAGGGATGAAGGAAGATATACACATACACGTATATATAAATTGAGAAAGAGAGAGAAAGAGATATACCTATACATGTACGTATAAATTGAGAAAGAGAGAAAGAGAAACACACGTATACACGTAAACATATATACATATATATATATTAAAAGAGTGAGAAAGATAGAAGTATGTGTGTAGAGTATGAGAAAGAAATAAACGTGCACATTGATAAAAGGTGGGGAAAAATGTACACAAGGATAGGAATATAGAAGTAATACAAGTAAAATGGTGATGGTGTTGGTATCGGTGATGGTAGTGGTGGTGGTAGTGGTGGTGGTGGGAAAAGCAGATACCAAGTGAGAAGGATAGAGGTCCTGTCGGTTTAGTGCGCCGTCGCGACGCCGAGCATCGTCGAAAGCAGCCGAGCGAGCGTCGTCGTTGCTGCTGCTGCTGCTGCTGCTGTTTCTGTTGCTGGTGGTGGTGGTGGTGGTGGTGCTGGTGCTACTTCTGTTGATGGTGGTGGTAGTGGTGGTGGTATTGGAAGTAAGGGTGAGGATGATGGTGATGGTGGTTGGTGGTGGTGGTGGTAGTGGTGGTTGTGCTACTGCTTCTCCTCCTAATGGTGGTGGGGAGATCAACCCTCTTTCTCTATCCCTATCTTTATCTCTCTTTCACTCCCACTTGTTCTCTCTTTCCTCTCCTTCTCTCTCTCTTTCTCTTTCGCGTGTGGTGGGTTTGCAAAAACAAGCATACGGAGATCCCCAGTAGTAGCAGCCCGGTACGCAGAGCAGACGAGAACGTCAAACCGGTCGGCACTCGCGTTCAGGTTAAACGTGACCACGCGATTGATTCTTCTTCTTTTCGTAATTTTTCCTATTTTCTTTTTTTTTTATCTACTCAACTTTTTCCATATCCTACCCTTTGTTTAATCTCTTTTATTATTTTCTTTCTCTTTTGTTTTCGTTTTTTTTTGTTGTTCATTTACATATTTGTATTCTCCTTGGTTTTCATTTTTTCTTTCTTCCAGCTCACATTTTGTTTGATTTGTTTGTTTGTTTTCTATTATTGCTTTCTTTCCTTTTTTTTTTTTTTTTTTCTTTTACCTATACATTGTTTCCATTCGCTCGTTTTTTTGTTATTAATTTTGTTTTTTTTTTTTTTGGGGTTAAGGGATAGGGGTAAATCTTTCATTCCTTTTTATCCCATTATATTATTACGTACGTGAACATTCGTAATTTTTATTGTTTGTTCTCTGTTTTATATATCTTCAGGATCCCATAAAAAAAAGAAAGAAACGATCATCGTCAGATCTATGTTGCGAAAATCATTGTGTGTTTCTCTTTGTACGTTTTAACCTTAATAGACAACGTCATAGCAGAAACTGTATCCTACCACGTCACCTCACGTGTCACCTACGCGTGATAACACACGTCGTATTAACTTAAATATTCTACGTCTTACGTTGGACAAGGACACACTTCGTTGGAATAACAAGAGAGAGAGAGAGAAAGAGAGAGAGAGAGAGAGAGAGAGAGAGAGAGGGAGAGAGACAGAACAAAAAATTCTCTTTTATTGTTCTTTTATTGTTTTTTTTTTTTTTTTTTTGAAGATGAGAGATAAAGATTGAAATTAGAATAAATTTATTCTCGAAGACTTGTCACCGTCGGATTAATCATGCTACGTGAACATTGTCTACCTTCCTTCTCTTTTCTTTCTTTATTTATTTTTTCAAAAGAAAACAGAGAAAATGAAAGAGAGAGTGAGAGAGAGAAGAAAAGGGGGAGGCATTGATTTAAAAGAAATGACGTCGAGTAGAAATTGAACGAGCGATTTTTAAAGGAAATGATTTTTAAGTGATGATTGGCGTTCAGTGAATTTACACATGTCAAAAGTTCTTCAGTGATTCAATGATGATCATCACAAGTGTGTTATTAACGTTCAATATTTCTAGAAACAAATTGGTGTGTTATAACAAATTAAAAACAATGAGCAAGAAATAAACAATATGAGAGCATAATAATTCCTGTCGGGAAAGTAAATTTAAAAAAATAAAAAAAATAATTACAAAAATAATAATAATAATAATAATAAAAATAACAATAATATATTAATGATGATAATAAAATAATAACGTAATCATATAAGTGACCATTAATGTATGTTATTAGAGAATAACATTTCCTCTAATTTCGTGTTGATGATTTAACTTACAAACACACATATGTATTGTACATATGCATACGACATAAATACGTATACACATATGTATATATATATATATACATATATATATATATATATATGCATATGTACGTGAAGATATATGCGTGCACTTAAGTACACAGTCGTAGATAATCGTGTATCCTGATTGTCGTGTATATCCCTGTAACTCGTGCGCTAACAGGAAGGCTCCGTGTTTGTCACGTTTTCGACTAGAGGAGGGTGAGTTTGGGGAGGTGGAGGGGTGGCGGTGTGGGTGCGCTTGAAGAGGGGTTGGTTGAATCGGCGCGGAGCGTGTTTCGGACAATACAGATTATTCCGTGCACGAAGATTACTGGATGCACTGTGAGTACCAGACAAGCAACAGTATAGGATATATTACGAAAAGGGTTGCCACACAATCGAGGGTGGTTTGTGTAGGTGTTTTTTAGTGTTTGAAAAAAGAAGAGGATTTGCAACAACCTTCGTCTCTCAGTCATTTATCCACAAGTAAGAAATAATATTATTTTTATTTTATTTAAAAATATTTCTTTTTAACGTGTTCGTTTAATTTTTTGGGTATTGTCATATGTGTGATTAGTTTTCATATTAGATTTAAATATATGTGATAGAGAATATCGTGTGTGTTGGATAAAAAGAGAAGAGAATGAAATTTAGTTATAGTATAAGTAAAAATGTAAATTAGATTTATTGATAATACGATACGATATAGTATATAAATTTAAATACACGATATAATGTTTTAATATACGCAGATGAAAAATTAAAATAATCTTATTACGATTAGAGTAACAAACTAGTTTCATAATAATAATAATAATAATGATTTTATAATCAAAATGTAGACATTTTATTAATTTGTAATGTTGCTTAAAGTTGACAAGTTACTTGTTAATTATAAAATAATATGTTAGGATAAGTTGAACGAAATAAACTCTGATTAGAAATCTTGAATCATGAGTTACACAGAAGGAGAAGAATTTCATGGAAAGTAGTTATCGGTTCATGCTAAGAGAGAGAGAGTGTGCAGTTTATGGGATGCACTTGGTGTAATAAGGAACATCATTAGAGTCTGGATATTATCCTTAAAGTATTTTAAAGATCAGAACGATGGAGGTCCTGCAAGTGTACGACTCCCTGTCGTCCTTTTCACTACGACGAAAGTTTTCACGAATATCGCGATAACACAAGTGTTTGTAAGAATCTTTTAAAATGAATGAACGAACAAACAAACGAACGAATGAATAAATGAATGAATGAATGAATGAATGAATGAAATCTTAATAATTAAGTATATACGTATTATTACTTATATTATATATTTATAAAAAAATATATATAATACATATATATATAAGTTTATATATAAATCAGAAGATCGTTTCTTTGAACGTAATATATTGCACGCGTTAGTTCAATTTATTCGAGAGAAAGAAAATATTTCATTCTACTTTTCTCTTCTCTGGAATATCATATTTGATCAAAGTCAAAAAGATAGGAATCCACATCTTCTTGTCATTCGCATGATTACTTTCCATATAAATACGTACAAACGAAAACGCGTATATAACTAATAATAAATCACGTCTTGTTATTCCTTATGACATCTTTTTTTTTTATTCTTTCATTTTATTCAGACAAACGCCATATACTTTATTATTACTCTCTCCCTCTCTGTTTTTTTTTTCTTTTACTTTTATTATGGAATACAAAAATAGAAATAAAATTTAAATGATTTCGAGTTAACATAGTTAAATTGTACATTTGTAATAAGTTTATATTCAGTGAATTAACACAGTTGGTATCGTTAATGAAGTACTTAAGCTCTACGCATGATAATGAAACGTTTATTCTAGTCTACTCTACTTTACTAATCATCATCTTGTAGGCTCCTGTATTAGAGAGAACTGGAAACTGTTTGAATTTTGTTCCATAAGTTTGCACGAAATTGCATCGCACGAGTTCGGGTACCAGGAGTAAGATTTCTGCAAACGTAGTATTAAATCGACATCATCGTGTTGAACTTTCCAGTTATCTCTCTGCTGTTGGTCTATGTGTTTCTCTTTCTATCTATGTTATATATCTATCTCTCTCGTTTTCATTCTCTTACTCTCATTGGTAATCACCACTTTGCTCATCTTTACCAAAGATGGGGTATATACTCATACATATTTCTTCTTCCTTCTCTTTCTAACTATATATATATATATATATACAATATATATGTGCTATGGTAGATGCTATTCATCTTTCATCGTTTAAATTTCATTAAACAATTCTTTAAGGTTGTAGTAGTGATGTTACTATTGCTGCTACTGCTGCTGCTGCTTCTGCTGTTGATGTTGGTGTTGCTGTTGGTGTTCTATCGTAAATCGAACGAGTAAGCTTCTCGTATAAATATTGTACGTGCTGCGGAAAGATTTACGTCAATCACATTCCCAATGTAAAATAGTCGAATAAATCGTTCCCAATAATCACAGTCCTTTCAATTTCGTCCGTATTTTTATCCTTACTTTATATTTAATTATCTTTTCATTTATAATTAGATAGAGTTTAGGTTGAAAGTTTGAAATCTTTAGATAGATTTCGAAAAATTAGGATATTTTTGTATAAAGAAAAATCAAATGATTTTCTATGCGAGTAAATGTTATAGATTTATTTGTTTAGAAAAATAGAAAAACGTATTTGTAATACATTTTATATATTTCGTATTAATTTGTTTTTTTTTTTTTTAAATCAAGGAACGAGTAATTTTTCTTCAAATTGCTCTTTAATCGGAAATATCGTTTTTTTATTTATTTTTCTCGTCTACGTTCAGCCAAAAGTCATTAACCATATTTTCTTCTTTTTTAATGAGAAAATTACATTTTTTTTAATCTACTAATTTTTATTTCTTAAAAAGCATCAATATTAATGTGTAAAAGGATTAACAAAAAGCATACTTTTTCGAAACTTGATTTTATACAATTACTTATTTCTACGAAGAGGAATCATTCAAATTACCATAAATGTTTGTTAGTGACTTTTGACTGAACGTAGACGATATTTTTCTAGAAAGGATATATAAGTAATAATGAGAATGGAATATGAGACATCGTAAATCGCAAATACGAAAAAAGAGAGAGAAAAAAAGAGAAAAAGAAAAGAAAAGAAAAGAAGAAGAAGAAAAGATGGCAGAAAGATACAATGCTGCAATATCACACGATGCGACTAACTGCAAATGAGTTTTTAATGTCTGGAATTTGCAGGTAAATAATACTTTAATGGCGAAAGAGAGAGAGAGAGAGAGAGAGAGAGAGAGAGAGAGAGAGAGTATTTGTCTCGTGTAATGTGTGTATCCCTCGAGTATCCGTTAGCACACTTATTTTTCAACGACTATAAGTGTCCTATCGTTATCATCTAAAGTAAAACGATCAAATCCTTTTTATTGTATAATTTCGTATATATACATATGTATATTTATATATATGCTATGTTCTATACGATAAAATTTAATATATCAATTTACATATTTAATTATCTTAATGTATTTGTATTCGTAAGAATTTGGAAATATTTTATTACAAAAAGTTATTGATATATTTTTTTTAAATCAACAGTTGAGAGATACGAATATTTCTGTGATTCATTTTTAATGTTAACAAATTGTTTACGTATGCATAATTAATATAAATATTTGTAAATAATCATGCATGAATTTATATGAACGTATGCGTGTGTTTGCAGGTCTGTGTGAATCCGTTTGTGTTTGTGTATGTTTATGTATGTACATTGAAACTCGATGAACTTTCAAACGATTCAAGTTAAAATCGTAGCACGTACGTATGTATGTATGTATGTAGGTATATACTTATAAGTATATATGTACATAGTACTAACGTTCAGGAACGAGCTACTACTTTCTACGAGTTCACTTAGCACCGCGGTTATTTTAATTAAACTTCGAAAGTTGGTCAGTGAGCTGGGTTGCGAGCAGTCGATTGAATTTCCAGTCTCCTCGTTGAAGTCAGGAAGGGTCTGAAACAAAAAATATAAAATTTCTTTCGACTCTCTTTAGTTCTCTCCCTCTCTTTCTCTCTCTTTCTCTTTCATTCTCTTGTCCCCTTTTTCTTATTTATATATTATTTTTTTTTTTCACTTTAATAACTTTTTGTTTTATCACGAAATCAGTAAGTCTCTCGATTTTATTACTTCGTATATGTAATTATAAAAAAAAAAACATCAAATCGATGTGTAAATATGGTACACAAGTAAGTAAAGAAAACGGATTTTTTTCTTACATTCCAATAAAAATTATTACTAATTTCGCAAAAAATCGAAGTTTAATTTTCTTCATTCTCTCTCTAGTGTATACTCATATAAAATAAATGTTAAAATATATCATTACAGATATATACGCAATGAAAAAATAAATTTATTTCGAATCTTCATAATCCTATTTTTTTTTTCCTTACACTCCGATAATTATTAACTAGCGTGGTACTTGGTGAAAATTCGAAGTTAGCTTTCTCAATTTTTTTTTTGTTTATAGTTATATTTCTTCCTTTTATTTTATTCTTATTTTTGTTTTTTGTTTTGTTACACTCCAATAATTTGTCAGTCGTGTAGAGCGTTTAGTGAAAAATCAAAGTTTACTCTAGATTCTTTAGAGTATACACGTATTATATATACAAACTTGTACACTAAAATAAATAAATATACACAAACATACACACCAATAGACATATAAAGGATGGGTTTATTGTCTCCTAAGCCAAAAGAAGCAAAATTCATTGGAGAACACGAGATATGGGTTCTGTTAACCGGGTGCACCTGAAAACTGTAACTGCAACGCAACAATAGAGAGTAACACAACAAATACATACATACATACATACATACACACACACACATACATATATAAATACACCAACTGCAATCTACTAGGAAGGAAAAGTACACGGGTGCAATGGCAATGCTAGGTAGAAACGCTTTCGAAAACATATTTCTAGGAAATGGTTGTAAATATTTTCAACCTTAGCGTTACCACTACTTCTATCTAGCCACACACATTTTCCGTAATTTCACCTATTGGAATAAACAGGACTCTCTTCTTCTCCATCTCTTTATTTCTTTCTTTCTTTCTTTCCTTCGAAACGATAATTCTATGGAATACATGTTCACTAATCAGTATATACATTATCCTCATGGTATAGTAAATACCTTTTGTCCGATCTTCTCCTTTAAATAGCAAACGTATAAACCTACCCCCTACTAACAAACCACCCCTACTACTACTATTACTACTATTTACAAAGCAAAAGTTACAATCTCGTTGTGCACATATTCTCTATCGTTTCCCTATCTATTTTTCTTTCTATGTTATATTTTATTTCATTCTATTTTTTTTTTATTTCCCAATGATGATTATTTTTGTTAGTTTCGTTACTCTGTTTCTCTTTGAATCCCTCTCTTCTTTCTCTTTCCCATGTTCCATTATATGTCGTTCC